TCCAAGTTTTGCAGCTGCAGCTGGCTGAACTGAATGAATAGCGTTCGATTCGATCGCTTTCAAATTTTGAAAAGGGCGTGCTTGAATTCTCGGCGAGAGTTTCCACCGTGCTCTTATTGCGCTGAAGAAAACCACTGGTGGTTTTTTTTTATGCATGGCTCCGGTAGAATGGAAGAAAAGATGAACAGATCTTTCGGCCTGCAACCTCGAAAGGCTGCCGCCGCCTGAACAGAGCTGCAGGCTCAGGCGCCAGGCATGCGTGGTGTATGGCACGAGTCGAGATCTACCGACGCAGTGCAGGGCTGCAGGCAGACGATCGACCGACGCACGTACGGGGCATGAGCCTCTCGTGCCGTGTTCGATGCGTGCTGAAAAGCCATGACTATGCGCTGAAAGCATTGATCGACGATTTAGTGTGAGAGAAAAAACGTTCTTCTTTCTTACTGAAATAATACCGCTGATAAAACAGGGAACGTGGCTTGATTTACGGTGAGCATGTCGTACTCGTACTCTTACATCAACCCCGGCCTGTACTCGTCGGGGGGCAAGCCTATCAATTCATGTCTGCATCGCGTCGCCGTCGCATACAAAAAAGATGGAGAGAGGCACGGCCAGGAGGTAGTACCACCCTCTCCAATCTGTTTTCCTCTCTGATCAATGTCCAATGCTCAATATATATCGAGTAATGTTTCGGATTAACGATAAACAGCCTTCACCTAATCTTTTTCACGGGCACGGATTCACCGTCATCGTACATCAGGAGTGACGTACGGTAGTGATGTACATGCATTATTAATTGCACATACGCCAACGTTTAACTCTATACCGTATCCAACGCCTCACGTCCGATCCTAAAGATCGAGCTTCACGTCGTGCTCTCCCAGCCCTTGTTAGGTTCAAACTCGCAAATTGGTGTGTTCCATTGTGGAACGAGGCGGATGAAAAACTCAAAACTCGTAAGCTTGTTCGACTTGTGGCCAGTTTAGCTTGGCTCGTAACAATTTTCTAACAAGCCAAGCTTAGCTTTTAGCTTGTTAGTTATAACGAGCTGGCTTGTTAGCTCACAAGCCAAAGGAGCTAGAATATCTAGTATCATACCAAGAAAAATTGACCCACCATGACAATGTTTGTCACTCACGTAATTAATGCTTCCAAACCCTAAGTCACCTCCTCAAGGCATTGTTTAGATTGCAAGTTTTTTCACTCTCTCTCCATCACATCAAATCTTTAGACATATGTATGGAGTATTAAATATAAATAAAAAAATAACTAATTACACAGTTTGATTGTAAATTACGAGACAAATCTTTTGAGCTTAGTTAGGCCATGATTGAACAATAATCGTCAAATACAAACGAAGTGCTACAGTGTCGAATACTGATTCCTAACCCCGATATAAACCAGCCCAAGTTGTGTTTCACTCCGGAGCTGCACCTGTACGGCAGATTATCTAATATTTGATTATCCATAGACTTGGATTTGCTTGATCTGTAGCCTATTAACTGCAAGGAACCCGATCTGTTGGACCGAACTTTATACTAACAATACATCATCACTTTATCAGTATATACAAATCATGTATATGTATGTTTTCTTTTGCATGGACGATGGATTGATGAATCAGTGGACAAGCTGTATGTTATTCATTGCTAATTTCTTTTTTCCCTGTGGCTCACGAGACGAGCCAGCTCGAGCTACTGACCGAGCTGGACTTTTGGCTCGTTAGGATAACGAGTTGAGCTGAGCCAGCTCTTTATCCTAACGAGCCAGATCGAGCCAAGCCAAGTCGTGTTGGCTTGATATCCAGGCCCTGCATGGAACAAAAATATGAAATTTAATGACTGAAACAAAGAATTATATGCCATACAATTTGAGAAAATCAAACGGTTAAGTTTCAAAGGTTGTATGCACAATACACCCAATTCGATACATAAAAACTAGCAAGGTGATATGTACAATCGTGCGGTTAGTATCATTCAGATGTACTCCCTCGCTCCGTTCCTTTCTTAAGTGTCTTGTTATCGAGGAGTAAAACGTATTCAACTTTGATTAAATATATACGAGAAATTACTAATATTTATGGTGCATAATAAGGATCATTACATTAATTATTACTTTTGTAATATATTTATTTGGAGATATAAATGTTATTAATATTTTCTATAAATCTAGTCAAACTTGAAAAAATTTGACTAGCGCAAAAATATAAGTGACACTTAAACAGGATAGAGGGAGTAAGTAAGCTTGCACTTTTTTCTATTTTTATCTTTAAACTCTCATATCAAACTATGCTTATTTTTAATATTATATCTTATATGAAAAATAAATTGAAATCCACTTTGACACTTTTTTATACAAAAACAGAGATTTAATTAGCCAAACATAAAAAAACTATCATTTAGTAATGGCATGTGTTGATAATAGAGAAATAGATGTAACATTGTTTCTGGTTATTTTTTATGTAATAACAGTGCTTGGTAATTTTCAACATATAGAAGGGTGTCTTATTTTTATTTTCTTTTGTGTCATGGGTGTTAGTACTTTTTCATGTAATTTTAGTCAAAGTTTAAAGTCTTTGACTCCTCGAAATATGAGAATTGCATGCTTTTACGGATGGAGGGAGTACTAGATATGGAATTTAAATTTTGAAGCCAGGAACAATACCAACCCAACTTGCCCTACAACTTTTTTCTGATTATTTTCTTAGTATGGATTTTATGTTCTATTTCCAAGAGTATAGTGTTGAAAACCGTGTAAACAACGTCCGTGGAAAACTCATTTCACCGCATGAATCTTCTATCTTCTCTCTTCATTTAAACTATGCCATGTCACTTATTTGATGTCTATGAAACTCTCGTTGAGACTGGTCTTAGGGCATTTCCCTGAAATCCAGAGTACAATCGTACCTTGAATAAAACCCATAATTTGAAAGCAACAAATGCTCCAATCCAAACAAACAAATCAAAAAGTTCAAAGAAAAAAATCCGAACCAAACGGGACCGGCCAGAAGGAAATGCAGTTTGCAACAGGGGAAGATAAACGCCGAGCATGAGCATGCAACAGTTAATGCCCGTTTCTCTCTCCACACCCGCCCGTCTCGAGTCCCAACGGATCCTTCCGTTCCGCACATCTCCCACCCTTCTCTTGGTCAAAGCGCCCCTCCTCCGCCTTCACCTCACCCTGCTCTCTCTCTCTCTCTCTCTCTCTCTCTCTCTCTCTGCTTCTGTTCCTTCCTCCTCCACCCTTTATTTTACTCCTCTCTCTCCAGCGTAAAACAATTGTGCTGTGTGAACGATGAGAGAGAAAGAGAGAGAGGGAGCCATGCAGGGGGAACCTTCTTTTCCTGACTCCCTATGGCTGCACCCCATCATTTGTCCCTGATCCTTGTGCTTCGCTCCTGTTGCGCTTTTCTTGGGCCATCGGTGGACTGAGCCATCGCGAATAAGGAGAAGAGAGGCTTCCCATTCCCACAACGCGGTGGAGCCTCCTCGCCACTGGCCTCCTCCGGCGATCTTCTTCCTCCAGTCACAGGTTCGTCGTGTTCCATCCCCATTCCCCTCGGTCGCTCCGTCAATGAAATGAACTCTCTGTTTCTCGGCCTGCCATTTGTCGCAAGGGGATTTGGTTGTATCCTATGGAGCCCTCTCGCGTGTTTTCTTGTTGCGTGGCCTGAATTTGTCCGTTCTTGTGAGGAAGATCCTTCTGCCATTCCGTCCCGATGTGTTTTGTTTCCGAGATTTGGCCATTTTCGTGCTGACGGTTCACTCCACATTTCGCGTAAAGGCGGAAGCTTTGCGCCGATCGACCAGTTGGGGAATGACATTGATATTGGTTTTCCCTGTCTGATTTCTGGTTGACTTTCCTTCTTCCTCCATCCCTGTGTTTCTCGCGGAATCACTGGCGCATCCATCTCCTGCAGATTTCGTAATGAAATGCTCTGCTTTGACACAAAATTTTTTGATATTTCTTTGTTCTACCTTCTACGCCGTTTTGGGTCATCAGCATGTTCTTGAATGTTTCTGCATCTCTTTCTTTTTCCTCACCCCTGGTGTTATCTTCGAGTGGATGTTTCATCGTTGTCATAAAAAAGAAATCTGAATCTTCTTACCTGAAGGAGTATCATAAGTTGGAGTTGTCATTTTGAAGAGCTCTTGGGGGAAAGCTGTTCCCTGTTGTTATGCGTATGCGCTTTGAGCTCCGAGCCACAGGGGAGACCCCAGGCAAAGGGGAGACCCCAGGCAAAGGAAAGGTTTTTTTATGAGAGAAAAACGATTGGGGTCCACCAACAGTCAACAGACTGAAGCACGCAACGATTGGGGTCCATGTCATTTCTTTTTCCTGCTCTTGAAGTGATGAGATGGAACAGCCACCTTCCATTTTTTTTTATTTCTTTTTGGTTTTCTATTCATTCGTGGGGAAGTGTGCCGGTCGCATCTTTGCTAGTTACTTTATGTGAGAGCTGCTGGTCGGTTCAGATAAATGTTTTAGCCACCCAGCTCCAGCCGAACGAGCCGTAACCTTTCGTGTTACACCACTGTTATGAATTCCTTAAAAAAAACACCGGTATCATGAGTTGTCGTTTACTGGCATTGACGCGGTTTCGGTTTTGGAATCAGCTTCACAGAGAATTTTGAGTTTGTGAAGACAAGGTCCAAGCCTGCATGATATTTAGAGTAGAATAGGAATAAGGTGCCTCTGATTAAAAAAAATATATAAGTTGTTATTCTTCCAGTTGGAGAAGATTGAGTGAGAGAAATCTCTGCTACTTAATGGCGCTACCACTGAAATCGAGTTTTTTTTTCTTGAAAAAAATTCCACCCATTGTTTCCTTTTGTTTTGTTTGAATTGACAATGTCTCTATGTCTGTTCATCAAAACAAATATCACTACGGTTGTCAGATTCCTGTTGTCTCTGAATATTGTCATATTTAGCCAAAACATTTACTACTACTGAGATAGAACTATTTTTTCACCCCATTAGGTTGAACAATCCAAGCTGAGATGGAAGGCCATGTAGCAATGGAGTGGAAGGATCCTAATCCAGGCCCAGAATCCTTGATGAGCTTCCAAACCAGAGCTGTTCGACCAGACACCATAGCGGGGCACAGCAACGAGGACGTTAAAGCCGGATTTGAGAAGCATGGCTTGTCAGTCGCCATAAGCTCGCCTCAGGAGGAAGGTCGGTCACTGCCACTGACCCCACAGTTTGGCCAGAAGACCAGTCCTGGCAGCAGCCTCGCCGAGAGGATGCAGGCAAGAACTGGATTCAAGGTGCCGAAGCTCAACATGCCTTTCAGCACAGCAGCTGGAGCTGATAATTCAGTACCAGGAGCTCCATCGCCCTACCTCACAATCCCGCCAGGCTTGAGCCCAGCAACGCTGCTGGAGTCACCAGTCTTCGTTTCTAATGCCATGGTATGTTCTGTTCCCTAGGTTATGATAGCGTGTTAACGCGTACCCGAATTACTATTGCTTTCGCCTATGGATGCTAAACTGGCAGTTCAAGAATGCTTGCTTTATTGAACTTTTGACCTCTTCGGGGGAGTTCGTGAAAGCTCTACTTTGGTTCCATGATCAGTTCTGCTTTGTTTTCTAGCATCCAGTCTCTTCTTTCCAAACAGGTTTCTGTTTGTTTTCTCAAAAGCAGAAAAATGGTATGATATCATTCAAATATTTCAAAGTTTTCTCGAAAGCAGAAATATGATGATCAATCTCTTTTATTTCCATAGTAATATAGCAATGTACACCCCACATTTCAGATCCAAACTTTTCCTCCCGTGTACTACTTGGAACTAAATTATAATAGCTGTTAACGTTGGCAAAGCTGGGATTGGAAATTCATGTGTTTGTTCTGTTCATAGTCATATATGTATTTTGAATCATCATGTTATTCGTATGTAATTGAACTAAATGTGTACGATATCTTCAGAGGTATCAACTAGGACAATTATTTTACTACACTGACACTGAAGCTATTTCTTACCTGACAACAATTTTTTTTTTGTTTCCTTGCAATTCTTCAGGGCCAACCCTCGCCAACCACGGGGAAGCTATTCATGCTTGGTGGCACAAATGACAATGATCCTATTAGATTTGGAGGTCCTCCAGTTGGAGATGGCCCTGATGCTTTTTCTTTCAAGCCCTTAGATCTGAAATCCTCACACTACACTGCTGAAGCAATGAAGGTTAGTAACATTTGAATAGTTCGTAGTTTATTCCTGATGACATTTGCTTGCGTGCTAATGATACAAGGCTAGTAACATTTGGATAGTTCATAGGTTATGAATGATAAAATTTGCTTGCGTACTAATGATAGAAGGTTAGTAACATCTGAATAGTTCATAGGTTACACCTGATAACATTTGCTTGCGTGCTAATGATAGGAGATTAGTAACATTTGAATAGTTCGTTTGTTATTCCTGATGACATTGGCTTGCGTGCTAATGATAGAAGGCTAGTAACATTTGGATAGCTCATAGTTTATTCCTGATATGACATTTGCTTCTGTGCTAATGATAAAAGTATCTCAACTTAGAAAGTATTTGTATAAACATGCAGTTGGCAGCGATGTTTGTTTCTGAAATTTTACCCCCAAATCTAGATGAGAAATCGGTTAAATCAAAAGAGTTTTGACTTTTGTTGGATTGGCACGATATAAATGCAGCAAAAAAAAAGGACTAAATAATTAAGGGGTACTAAGGAACCTCTCCTACTTTTTTATTCATTTAGTTCTTCAATTAACTCTTTTTGCTCTGGAAGTCTTTTATCTGTTGCACTACCTGTAACAGATTAGTTCGTCTTTTTGGAATGGTCGAGGCACTTTTGTCTATTCTTTGAACGTTAGTGACACGACTTATAGCGAAGTGGCTGGTAATGCCGGTACTGCTGTTTTGCCGCATATTGTTCATACTAATTGGAGATAGACAAGGGACCAGCTAGATTATGCTAGAGCTAGACAATTTATAATTTCATTAAAATAATTCTTGCCGACAACTAAACACTATTTTAGTGACTTTAGTCGTCCTTCAGTTCCAACTAAGGGCTTGTTCGTTTATTGTGGATTGGTTGCCCTCTGGAATGATAAGCTTATTTGTATTATCATGTATCAGCTGGAATAGTTCCACCCTCAAAACCAGGCCAAACGAACGAGGCCTAAACAGATAAAAAATCATCCCTGCTTATATGTTTCAAAAATGTGAATGAACCATTTTTACTTCCTTGTTCCTGATCCAATACTTGTTTGATTTCATTTCCTTACGAGTTAATTCATATTTGCTCCACCAGGAACAAAATACTCAGTCTTCTGTCAAGACTGAAACTAAAGACTCAGCCAGTACAAGAGGCTAATTTGCTGGGCCAACTGAACCAGCAGAATCACAATGTGCAGACCAATATGAATAGTGGCGGTCCTCGTGACTCCAAGCTCAGCCGTCCTGCATCTGGCGCCGGTGCAGGCAACGAACACGTATCACCCCCGGATTACGGCCAGACAGCTGAGGAAGGTGACGCGAGGGAAGACTACCCGGCAATGGCCGCAACAGCCCCAGCAGACGACGGGTACAGCTGGAGGAAGTACGGGCAGAAGCAGGTGAAGCACAGCGAGTACCCGCGCAGCTACTTCAAGTGCACGCATCCCAACTGCCTGGTGAAGAAGAAGGTGGAGCGCTCGCTCGAGGGGCACATCACGGAGATCATCTACAAGGGCGCGCACAACCACCCGAAGCCCACGCCGAGCCGCCGGCCAGGCGTCCAGCAGCCCGTGCACCCGTTTGGCGACGCCGGTGTGCAGGCGGACGCGGTGACAACAACCTGGGGTCACAGCAGGCAAACGCAGCGGAAGTCAACCACCAGCCGTGGCGTGCGGGTGTTCAGGATGGCATGGACGCCGCGACGTCGTCGCCCTCAGTTCCCGGTGAGCTCTGTGACTCATCGGCGTCGATGCAGGTCGAGTACGCACCCCGCGGGTTTGGGTCCCCGGAGGGCGCGGATGTGACGTCTGCTGCGACTGACGAGGTGGACGGGGACGACAGGGTGACTCTTGGCAGCATGCCTCAGGGCGGTGCCGACGCGGAGGGCGACGAACTGGAATCTAAACGAAGGTCAGTTGTTTAGTTATAGTATCTGTGCATTGTAGCTTGCTCACCACTCATGCTTAATCTAGAGCTGACCGTATGATTATTTCAGGAAGCTGGAGTCATATGCCATTGATCTGAGCACTGCGTCGAGAGCTGTTCGCGAGCCTCGCGTGGTGATCCAGACGACGAGCGAGGTGGACATCCTCGATGACGGCTACCGCTGGCGCAAGTACGGGCAGAAGGTCGTCAAGGGCAACCCGAATCCAAGGTTCGTCTGAAGCAACAACAGCACTTTCTTTCCAGAGCTCCAAGAATGGCATTTGCTCAGCGTTTAATTTGGTTCTTATCTTATTCGGTGGTGTGTCGCGTTCGTTCAGGAGCTACTACAAGTGCACGCACCCGGGGTGCACGGTGCGGAAGCACGTGGAGCGCGCGTCGCACGACCTCAAGTCCGTGATCACCACGTACGAGGGCAAGCACAACCACGAGGTCCCCGCCGCAAGGAACAGCGGCGGCCACCAGAGCACCGCGGCGGCGGCGGCAGGCGCGGGTGGCGGCCCGCGCAGGCCGGAGCACCCGTCGTCGGTGCACGACTGCCTGATGATGAGGCACCTGGGCGGCTGCGGCGTGCCGTTTGGCCTGCCGCCGCCTAGCAGGGACCCGCTGGCGCCGATGGGCAACTACCCGACGTACCCCTTCACTGCCCTCGGCGGCGGCGGCCCCACGTCGCTGCCGAGCCTCCCGATGCCGGCGGGGAAACTCGGCGCCGTGGAGGGGCTGAAGCTCCCGGTGCTGGCAACGTCGTCGCCCCTGCACCAGCAGCACCCGCTGCTGAGGCACCGGCAGGCGATGCAGGCCGCCGCCCTCGTCGCGGCGCCCATGGCAGACGTGAAGGTCGAGGGCAACGTCGCCGGCGGCGTTACCGCTGCCCCGTCGTCGGTGTACCAGCAGATGATGCGCAGCGGGCTGCGGCTGGGCCACCAGATGTAGATAATAAATAAAAGCGGAGAGGATTAGAGTGATTCTCAAGTTATTAGTTTCTTATTCTTACCAGTCGTATTAGGATGAGTTCGTCATAAGTATTATAGCGTGGAAACAAACGCCCCTTCTTTCGTTTTTTTCAACCTTCCATTCTAGTACTTCATTCTTTTCCCCAGCAATAATTTTATTCTTTATCTACTGCCCCTCTTCATTTGAGATCCAGTTTTTGTTCAGCAGCTGGCATCTGTCCATTTGGTGTTCTGGTGCCTTCAATGTTTATTTATATGTTTATTATTTGAGAAATGGCCAACAGTTTCTGGGCTGATAACTTGGCATCAGCCCAGAAAGCACTTTAGCCGGTTAGCCCAGCTGATTAGCAACTGTTGTTCTGGTACCAAGCCCATCGCGCAATGCTCTTGTTGGGCCTCATAGAGACTGGGTTCTGGTGGACTTCTGGCTGTAGTACTTAAACTAGTACCAAAATTCAGAAGTTGTTTGTCATTTATTTAGTCCTTTTCACGTACTGTACCAGTATATATTTCCTTATATATAATAAGAGAAAAAAAAGGAAGAGAGAAAATTGTCATCAAAGTCACCGAGAGCCACTGGAAGAAAGGCCATCGAGAAAGGAGCGTTGTGGTGCCTGACACGTCCCTCTCTGTCAGCCTCAGTGTCGTGTACCGGCGCAGCAGTGCAGGGCCCAGGGCACGGCATCCGCTGTTCTGCTGTGAGTGCGTACCTGGCCGGGCTCACACCCGGTTTGATTAGTCAAGGTGTCCTCTGGCTTTGTTTATACACACGGCCTGTTCGCTGGTTCATTTATAAATTCAACTGCTACTGGTTCGTTGTTTCAGGAAAATGCTGTTGGCCTGTGAAACAAACAAGCGACCGCACAAGTGGCACCGCACGGACAGGGCTGGCAAATTACGTATCTATCCACCCCTCGGCGAGAAAGTGCAGCGCGGGCAGAGCCAGGCGCCAGCTGGATGGTAGCATGGCGATGGTGTAGTGTAGCCACACCCTCCCGGTCTCCTCTCGCCGTCCCTGTCTCGGCGTGTCCGTTTCCTCCCTTTGTTGAGAAAAGAAAATACGCATGGGTCATTTGGATATATGCTCTCGACCCTACAAAAAAGGGGGAGCGGCACCTTCTCCCGGTTTCAAAACCTATGAAGTAGGGCCGTAGCGTAGGGGAGGGAGAACACGGGAGCAAGGCACTAGCAGCTACGACTACTGGTTTCTTTTTTGAATTTATTATTATTACTATTACTAATTTACTACTACTCGTGCGCTGTAACTGTAACATGGAGTGCTTTCGTAGTAGCTTCTCTGTAAATGTAACTGTAACCGAGTGCTAATGACGGGTACGGCGCATGATGTCGGGGTCGTCTGCGGCTCTGTTATGAAGAGCCGCATGTGCGCCGATTCTCTGAACCTGCCCCGGCTCTGGGGACACGCCGGTAGGTAGGTTCCGTTCCGCCTCCGTTTGTCTCGTCCACGGAAAAAAAATTCCCATCTCCTTTATTTCTACTCGCGAGTTTTCAGGAGTGCACATGAGAGTAAATAAATAAATAAATAAAATCCAGTTTTCGCTAACTGCTAGACGAGGCATTGATCGTGCAAGAATCATCGGATCGGAGCATGGCCTACCGCCCTACCCTGCGCTACTGGTGACCGCGGCTGACGAGGCATGGCCAGGCCCTCGGCGGTTGTGCGCCATCCACGCGCGCGGCGCGGGGCGGGCCACCGATGGAGAAGTGCGGGGCCGCACGACGGCCCGGCGGGCACCTGCGCCCATGCCGACCAGCCACCACCGGCCACGTACAAGAAGCAAAGCAGCGGTAGACCGCGTGTGCGCGCGCGGTGGTCTGGTACTCTGGTTTGATCTCTCTGGTGGGGTGGCCGGGTGGCGGGTGGGTGCTGTGCAGTTACCCGTCCACATCGCCCCGGCGTCGGGAGGGGCAGCAGCCAGCAGGGGCTCGCGCCGAGGCCAAGAAACCCCGCCCGAAACGGACGGGGAACAGCGGGAGAGGTGAACGCCAGCACGCACGGCGGCACCCCGGCAGTGGGAGGACGGAGTAAAAGAGAGGAGGGAGGGGACGGCGAGCTCTCGGTTTCTATTCCTGTGCAAGGCGAAGGAGGAGGCATTGGGTTGGGCGAGGACGAGCTTTCGTTGTCACGATTCATTACGGCATATGGACCCTTCCCCTCCACATTTATAATCTTGGTTTGTAGTCGTCGTTGGGTCCACGTACCGGATCGAGGCCCAAGGGCCATCATTAGCAGTGTTTTTTTTGGTTGAATTTTTCCTTCCTAACATTTGGGTGCGTGTGTATATATATGTATCATTATGTCATCAAACATTTTTATTTACCACAATGTCGGTTGGTGTATGGAGGATTATTATTGTTGTTGTTGTTACTACTACTATTATTATTGTTATTATTATTATTATTATTGTTGTTGTTGTTAATGTTATTATTATTCTATTATTAGGCACAGTGTTTGTTAGAAGGAATAGGCGAATAGTGGCGAACTGTTTTCTTTAATTGAGTTCCTTTTTTTTTTGTTGCGTCAATATCTCACTAGGTGCTTCTAATTAATGTATAGATACTACTAAGCTAGTTTTGCTTCTAATATATAGATCGAGCATGCTTCATTCTGTAGGGAGCACGACTCTGCGGGGATACATACCACCAGTCTGAGTTCTGTTTAGCCAACGTTTTAGCCTCTCTCATCAATCAAATTTTTGCCCATACACTTACAGTGTATCTATATTTACACCACATTATTACTATATTTACAATGATTTCTTTGGTGTAATTTATTGGACAGAACGATATAATTTAAGAATAATACAAATATATGCCAAAATTTTTAAAAACTTTACAAATTATTTCTATGGATTCCAGGCATCAGAAAAATATATGTGAAATTTTTCACAAATTCTTTAGAAATTTTAAAAAAATACGAAATCCACACAGAATTGCTGCGACCACGAGGGGGCGGTGCTCGCGCACCCGTCTATGCGACCATCTACGAGAGACAACAAGACCGGCGGGTCCGAACAACTAGGCCGCCCACCCCATCGCCCGTGTCAGCAGCGCCGCCAGGAGGGCAGCAAGCGAACAGACAGACGGAGGGTGGAGCACACGGAGAGGTCGATGCCGGTGAGGGCAGAGAGGGTCGCGTTGGGGCGGCGTGGAGCGAGCAGCAGGACGCGACAGCGGAGCAAGCGTCCTCGACGTCGAGACGGCCCAGCACCTCCACCAGGAGCGCCTCGGGGAGCCTCTCGACCAGGCCGCCGCCGCCGCTCTCTGCGGTGCCGGAGGGCTCGCCGTCGCAGCCGTCGCCGTTGTCGCCAGTTCGAGGCTTCTTCTCCGCTACTGTGTCCTCCATCCCCTTTGCTTCCGGGGAGCTTGGCCCCGCAGCCTGCAGCGGAGAGCGTGGACTCTTCTAGATTGAGAAGTGCACAGATTTGCACAGAGGAGGAGGAACGGGGGACGGGCCATCGGGATGCCCATTGGACGGCCAAAAAATGGTTGAGAGATGCTCATAAATCAACATACTGACCATTAGCATTTCTCTGTCAATTAATATCATGGTCCAATTCAAGTGAGGGGAATATATATGGTTCGCATCCGAATAGGGACCACACTTGAATCATTCAATGTCTTGTATCTTGAAATCCCAAGGGAGCTCATAAGAGCATCAGCAGTGTGCGGTTAGAAGGTGGATCGATACAATAAATGTACCGATCGAACTTGGGTCGATACATTGCTAGGCCGATTCGATGGAGCTCCGGGTCCGTCGTATCGAACCCGCTCCTACGGAAAAAAGAAATCATCTTGGCTCCCTCTCTCTCCTACCGTGCCGTTGACGCTTCCGGTTCGATACGTTGCGAGCCGGGTACCAGGACAAGTCACGTCATTGGTGGGACCCAGTATAGGACCGACCCCGGTCCTCCACACTGCGGGTGCTCTAAGAGACGATCGTATGTTGGGAAAATTGGTCCGGTAGCATTGAAGGATCGCCGTATCCAGAAAACACCATCGAAATTTTGCTGCTCCGTAAAATACCATCGAAAGAATGCAATGTCACCTGGATATAGCATTCCGTCACGTTTGAAGCAAACGTCGTCGCCTCCGTCAAGCTCGTCCCCTTCTCCTTCCTGTGCTCCAATCCTGTCGCGAACTCAATTTGAACCCTCTTCCATTTACGTCTTGCGGGCCTCCGTCGACGCGTCTCGGCGACCTCACCGTCGAGGTCGGCACCTCGACTTTGCGCTCCACAAGGTGAGAGATCGAGAGCTCCTTGGCCTTGCACAAGAACACGGCGAAAACCAAAACGATGTGCTAACGCCGACCGCGCATAGTTGTTCGCGCGAGTTCTCATTGGTGTCCCGGAGCGGCAAGATCCGGTGGCTCGTCATGGAGGCCAAGGACGCTTAAGTGGCGCGGCTCAACTCGCACGACACCCGGGGCGCGCGCGGCGTTCGAGCTTCGCCGCCAAGTTCGCTATGGGCGTCCACGTGGACGCCACGATCGCTAACGTCGCCATCTTTGTCTTGCTGCGCCACGCTCTACACCGCAGATCACCGAGCGACTTCTTCGATAAGAGCTCGGAGCTCGCGCCGAAAGGCGTTCCTTCACGACGCGGTGCTCCCGAAGATCGCCAACTGCGTCGCCGTGCTCAACCGCGCGGCGCTTCTCCCGCCGCCGAGGACGTCGGCCTCGTGCCGCCTCATCGCCGCCATCGCTAGCAACGTGTGCAAGGAGCGAGATCACGTCGGGCTGTCAAAATTTGGACCGGTGCAGCTTGCTGGCTTGTTGGCTTCCCGCCACGGTGTTCGCCGACCTCGACTTCGCAGGCGATCGGTGGGAAGCAAGTCGGCGCGCGCCGCCTCGACTTCTTCCGGCGCTTTGTTGTCCGCGGTCAAGGCCAAGGGCTCAAGCAGAGAGCGGTGACCGGATCCTCATCAACTACGTCGCGAGAACTTCATTTGCGCGGGC